GGCGCACCAGTGGATGATATTAAATTAGAAGTACGGTCGCTCGGTTATTTCAGCAGTGTCAACACGCGTGCGCACGTAAATCTGTGGTCGCGCAGAAATTTTTGAACGCAAGAAGTGGTCAGCGTTAGTCTCAGAAGCTTTACTGCGCAATGATCCGATGATGCGATGGAAACACGTAACGAGAAAAGTGTGATTTAAGAGGCACATGGTGCCCACGACAAACCATGTTGTTTCTGCGGTCTGCAATCCGAGTTTTTTTATTGCTGCTTCTCGTCCGTTTGTGTCGACAGGTATTATTTTCTTTCCAGAGACATGAATGATATTTGAAATCATCTCTCCAGTCATTGCCGATGACCGTTTTGCATTCTTTGAAGCTGACACAGTGTTAGTGGCAAGATCTATGGTGGTATTTATTTGTGCTTCACTGTTACCTGCAACCGGTGCACAGTCGAGTGCGCTGCTTTACTGTTTGGACAGCGGTGTCCAGATCACCTGTTGCTGCAAGCTGCAGTCATTACCTGATTTCTCCCAGAACATTTTTGGAGGAAATACTCATTTGTTACGTATAACATATCACTAATATTATCATAACTTATCACGAATACCGGTTTCTCTCTTGCTCTTTCTGTTTGTAAGAGACCCTTCTAGCATGACATATGTAAAGCCGTTGTTCACTGTAAATTTTTCAACTTTAAACTGACGAGTTGAGTGTTTACTTCAATAGTTGCGTTTTAGATTTTGAGCGGCATGTCAGGATCTAATATCTCCTGCGCGGTTACAAATATCGTTCTTTGATTGGAAACCTTCAGGCCGGTGTAATGCGCCGAAGTTTCACGTTCGTTCCATGTTCGAATTTCGTTACCACCGCTGTGGCGAAGGCTCGGTTCAACTGGTACAATATTCGAAAGACGACAGACAATCCGAAATATGGCGAAATCGACTACTTCAAAAACGAGGCGTTGAAACTCGAGCCGCGACCGGGCTATATTGATCGATTGGGAGAGGTGTGGTCTTTGATGATCGCCGTAAGCCGCGACGTGTTCTTTAAGCGAGGTACATTTACCCATGTGCATTCGTTCGTTTACGTCGCAGGCAATCTTATTCCTATTCCTTGCTTCTTTGATCAGACGATAACCTAATCAAACACGACGGAAACTATGGCTTGCCCCAGGTCGACTTGTCTCAGCCTAAAGCTGAATACGAAGGCATTGCCGCGTTAGAAAGGCATATATTACCCAAAACATTTTAAGTTGTCATTTCATAAAATGTGTTTTTTAGAGCCCCAGAACCTGTGAAAAAAATATTCAGCATAGCCTACGGTGAAAGAAAAGATTTGACTTTTCAGTGGAAGAGAAAATTAATGGATAAAGTTCGGTGTAATGAGCTGGACGACGAATCCTACGAGGCCAGGAGTAAGTCTGCTGCAAGTTTTTAGAGCAACTAACAGAACAATATCTGCAAGTTGCGAATGCATAAAGTAGGGTTAATTGCGTAAAATTAGTATCTTCTATATTCTTATGTATATTTTATATTCTTTAGTATCTTCGAAAGGTTTTCAGCCATCTGAGACAGTGGCGCTTTTAACCCATCCTTGGCGTCTCCAGTAGGAGCGAGAAGAACAATCAAAGTACAGAGGCACATAACAGTGTGCAGTGCGATGTATGACGCACTTTTATCCTGCCACGGTACCTGTAATAATCCATCCTACTCTGAAGCACAGATAATGACGCTGTGATTACCGGGATTTTCTAAGCTGCTTGCACCAGTAGAATAAGACTGTCTGATGAAAAAGCTCTGATTATAAGCTCAAACGTAAAGAATCCATTGTTCTGCATCCACCGTCTTTGTTAGTTCTCAAGGTAAGCATGATAAGGTCTTTTCGTAATGCTATCTGCCGTTCGAATAGAGGATCATGGTTTATCGAGAAGAGGAAGAGGAAATCCAGGCAAACCAGCGATCCTTGATGAATGACAACGATTAATGGAGAGAAAATAACAAAATTCAGCATCACAGCTTTAAAAAATTGTGCACCATGTCATCATCCGTCTCAATGGTGCCTGACATTTGTCATTGCCACACTCATACGGCTTGATGGCTATGATGCCACTTCGTTTGACTGTTTTGAAGTTAGTCAAGCATTTTATGATCTTAAGTCAGTTTATCACCTTATGTCAGTTTCGATGGTAGCTTATCCATTCACGGGTCACGGGGACGCCAGTATTTCCAACCTTCGCGATACTGCGCCACTGTCTGACCTTCGGCAGAAGATGGCCTAAGTCTCGAACAGTGACTTCGACCCACGTGTTTCACGTCATTCTTGGCTTGCCCTGGGGCCAGTTGGCTGTGCAATTAGTAGCTGTTTTGCTTTCTTTTCTGAAGCATTCGCAAAACATTCCTGAACCGTTGCAGCTGTGGCTTCTCTGTATGAAGATGAAGCGGCACTTACTCAGAACTTTGAATTCTGTCGTGGAGCCTGATTACAGCATTAGTCACGGGAGGCCAGTTTCAGTCGCCGGCACTAAGCATTATTGGTCATTACCGCAGCTTCGTTTTCGTACTCAGCTCTGCCTTAATCGCTGCGTTTACCCATAGGACTGCTGGTCATTCCATCTCTTCCTTTTTTTTATCGCTAGTAACCATGACCTTGAGATAAGTGAAGTTAGCCTGTTTCACTAATCTTCCGTTTATCTCTGGAACGTACCTTCGAGAAATGAAGAAAAAACTAGGCTTTTGGTCTTAGACACAAGCCGGTTTTGTGCTTGCCGGCCACGTAGTACTTGGTTCTGACATAATAAATCCGGGTTACTCTCTTCTTTTAGCTCTGCTAAACTTTGATGACTATGTCACAGTGACAACAACGGCGACTCACCTAAGTACATTTCCATTTTACGTTCTCAGATTGATTTTTTAACAAACGCAGGCGAATTTATTGCATGCGCGGAAATGAGTTGCTCAACGAGCGGGAACCGCTCGAAACTGACCACACAACTATGACCAAGAAATGCATCTTTACGTCACTCAACACTGGGAAGTAAGTTTCATGTTACACGTTGGAAAGTTTGTTTCTTGTCGGGTGAAAGTAGAATAGATTATGTCTACCGTACAACTTGTTAGTGTAGACTCGGTTTAACGCCAGTAATGGAAGCACTCCTCCCAGGGAATTGATCGCTTGACCTGCAGGATGGGTGGTGGTGTTCAGTTCACAATAGATTACGTCGTGGTGGTGTAGGTTTTTGTTGTCCTATACGCTAAACTAGATGGTCATTTCTCTGGAGTAGGTGTCTGAGAAAATCGTGTTCTGTCGTGTGAATGTCAAAAACGCAACGCTGAATGTCGCTGTCGCCAATGCACCAGCAAATGTGTTGAGGGACAGCGACGGAGGTTCTTTCTATTATTGCATACTGTCAGCTATTAGCGTTGTGTTGCGTCACGAATTCTCAGTTGTCACAGGCGACCTCATCGCAAACGTCCGTACCGATTTTAGCACATGTCAAGGCATACTGGACCTTAACGGTATTGGCAGTGCGACTGGTGGACTATATTGTCAGCAGCTGCAAATGGCGCAGCTCATTACTTGAGGCTCATGTCAGACGTGGCACCTCCATTGGGTCTGATCACGTTATGTTCGTAGCGGAACTGTGTCTATAATTAGTCGTATCGGCGATGTGTTGTTGAAACATACCAGCTGCTCGATCTCTATGTTGACAGTCTAAAATAGGATGAAGCAGCTTGATCGACTTATCAGAAGGAGGTAGAGAGCTATTTTAATGCTACTTTCAGCGCCCAGTCGCGAAGCTGCAACGTCAAGGAACTTTAGGAAGACTTCAATAAATGTGTCATTTCCTCTGAAAAAAGTAGTTGGGGTCAGAAAGAGAATAGCCAGACTATCTTGGGTTGCGGAGAAAACTCTAGCCGTTAGAGCGAAAAGAAATCAAGCAAAGGTGCACTTGCAACGCCCTTCTGCACCATCGAAGATAGCTAATCGCTGGCTCGTTCCGGCATTCAACCAGAGCTACAGATCGGAGAGGACAATTTGACTGGAATAGGAGATCAGAAATCAGGAAGATCGAAAACTCAGCCACTAAGATTGCGTAGCGAACATTGTTCAAGGGAATGAAACAGTTGTCCAGTACGCATGGGACCCAGTCTGTTTCTATTTAAGACGCTAAAGGTGTCCCACGGACTGTCCAGAAGGAACGCTGCAGCAAATTGACTGAGCATTTGCAGCACCTACTCAACGGCCGACATCCGGATTCGCCATTTTCTGTTGTTAATTCTCTGCCAACAATAGAGGATAGTACATAGCCACCAAGAGAACTGGAAATCGATAAGGCTTTGCTGCACTTCAGCGTAAAAAACGGCTTCGGGTTGGATCGAACTTCACCGGAATGAATTAAGTATGGATGGACTGAAATGTTAGTGTAACTCCATGCCTTGTTCCATCAAATGCTGATCTCCAACTGTTTGCAGATGAATGGAAGTGTTGAGTAATTGTTCCCCTATATACAAGGGGTTGGACAATTATCGTGTGCCACTGCTGTAAACTCCCGGGAAATTATCGTTTGGATAATCTTGAAACGCTGAATCAGATATTTGACACGAGATCTTCCAGATCAAGCAGGCTTCCGGATTGGATACTCCCCAGACCAAACTTTCCTCTGCGTAGGATCGTTGAACAATGTGGAAAATTCCAGTTATCCTGGTTGTCATTTCCCTCGACTTTAAAGCTATATTTGATTCTCCAAATTGTCGGACGATATGTAAGATCTTGAAATGCTGTGGGATATCTGAGCGCCTCATTTCTATTTTGGAAGTGATGTATACACGAACCTTATGTACTGTCCTGGTTGAAAGCTATCTGAATGATTCCCTATTTATTATGGAAGAATACGAAGATGTACTTTCGCCATTGCTATTCAAGATTGTTTCGACATTTTTCTCTAAAATAGTGCTAACCCTGGCAAACACAAAGGTCTCATTTTAGAGAAAAGTCGCAGTTCAGGATACCCGGATAAATATCGTGCTGAACTTGAGTACGCAGATGATACTGTCCTGGTGGGTAGTATCGAAAGTGGGCTCTGTCACCTGACGGTTGCTATATACAAACTGCTGTGAAGGCTGGCCATGTCCTTAATGCTCTAAAGTCAAAAGTGAGGAGGAAGTCATCCAGCACAGCTGACTTACACAAGTGAAAGAGGGCGATTAAGCGTTTCAGGTGGCTGACTAGTGTGATAATCTCTATTTCATCATCTCCAGCGATGGGACTATCCGGCTTGAGTTAAATAGTGGGGTGGCTCGATTCTCAAATGCTTTTAGGAAGCTACCGAATATTTTTGTTGAGAAAAAAATCCGCCTATACCTTGTTTTTTCACAGTTGTTCGAACGAAGAAGCAAGAATGACCGTTGAAATGCGTGCAACAGGGTTTTGCTGCAGTGCATAATGATGACTAAATGTTAGGACGATATGTGAAATTACAATTTAGTTTTCTGTTAGACAAGTAGGTTGAGCATGCCCCATTTATTCCAGCCCTTGAGCTTATAATGTGATAGCCTAAACGCGGCAGATATCGATCAGGAGACCGGCGTGTTACATGGAGGAATATGGTAGAGGTTAATCTACTTCGAAGGAATATTTCCTGTTTTGACCGGTGTCAAGTGTGGAAAAACTGCGGTTATAGCGAACCAAAGACATTCTGTTTATGCGAGCTGCTCAGATTGATGATCTCAGCAAACACGAATTTGGGCGCAAACCCCGTTATCTTTTTTTAGTCGGCAACATTACTGTGAAGTAACCGTTCTCTGAATGTCACTTATAAACTCGACGAGAATATTGACGTATATCAGTGGCCTGGAGTGCTCGGCTTACCAGAGCATCGAAACGTCATTCGAAGGGTCTACTTT